TGGAGCAGGCGAGGCCCGCGGCCCTGCCAGCCGCACCGCTGCCGCCAGCCCGGCTGCTCAGCGTCGTCCTGCCACGGGAAACAGAAATTTTACAGGCCCAAAGCCAACATATCACCAAAAAATCCCCCAGCCAAACAGTATTTTTGTCAGAGCTGGAGAAGTGGAGAGAGCTCTCATCTTCAGCAAAGCAAGTTGTGCAGCAGAGTGTCTGGCATTGTATTGCACACCCAGCTGAAGAGAAACAGTAAGTTATTTTCAATAAAACCGTCATGTTTTCCTACCACAGGATGTGATAATATGTGGAATGTAGTATATCTTATCCTCATAGCTATTACCTAAGAAAACCCGACCCATTGATCCACCTCATCTGTCAGGTTAAGCAGTCTACCGTTAGTTACCAGAGGTGTCACCCTGCAGCTCTGTCCACACCGAGGTCCCAAGCGACAGAGCTGCAGTGAGTTGTTCCATCAGTGGCTTTTGAAGAATCTCCAGTCAAAGACTGTCAAGGGAAAAGTTGTATGTCAAAAGCAATTATACATATGCATGCACTCATCAATAATAATAATGTATATAATCAGCTTTGATTTATATTGCCTTCTTCCCTTCCACCTTGCCCCAGTTTACTCCGGTCCATTACAATGTTAATATTTCTTGTAGGCGTAAACAAAGAAAAGCCTAACACAAATGTTATCTGAGATGCGCAAACAAGCAATCACATAGCTTTACAATACAATTACTCTGTTTTACTAGTGTCTGGTGAAGCATTTCTGCCCTTCCAGTGCATCGGACTTTGCAACTACATGATGAGTCAGCCATGACACAAGATTAACATTTCCAGAGTTGCTTTGTTTCTGTGCTTTAGCAGCAGCACACATTTTAAATGAAGATTTATATTTTGGTGCAGTCTTGGAGAACATAGCCTAAAGAATTAAACTAAACTAGGAAACACAGTTTAGGAGTGTGTCTTGAGCATGTGAGCCACGGATTCAGTCTATGGGACCAGACTAGAGGTAGTGTGAAGTGAAACAACCCTGAAATATTTGTAGGAGGTCCACAGCACCAGTTACTCTACCCTAGAGAACTGTTCCTGCTGGTTCACGCTACCCCATAATACAGACAGGCAAAGTATCAGTAAGACATACTATTAATTGATCCACTTTGTGTAGATACTTATTTCATTAGAGACTGCTCTTCTTTCTTGCCCTCATTGTGGCAATACTAAAAGATAATCTCACACTGAAAAATCTTCTGCTAGAGAATACAGAATGAAACTCCTTACATTGTTCACGCAGAAGTTCGTTTTTATGTTTCTGAAGAATCTTGTGCAAACAAGCCTGGAACACACCCATAGGCTGCAAAATGTTGTTGTCTTAGTAGAGGGCATAACGACATGTTCCAATCATTTGTCCTTAACTTTATCCCAATTTCACATATCTTTAACTTGGTTAGAATTTGCATAAGCTATGAAAAGTTACGCTTTTGTGATTCTCCAAGGTATATGCAAGTGCTCCTTAAAAGCAAAAGGTATGTGGATAGTGATTTAGTTAGAGGCTACTTTTGTAAGAAGGTTAGGGAAAAGATAACTTACACCATCTTTGCAGTTCATTGCAATATCAGAACATTTGATCTGGAACAGTTAGGAGCATATGATCGTTTCTGTTTCAAATCAGCCAGGTAACACAAGATGATCAAGCCAGAGAGCCTGTTTTTTCAAAATTTGCCTAGATATATTTGAAGTACCAGACAGAGGTATGAAAAGCAGCATGTAGAGTGCTGCCATGGTACTTCTGAGCAGGTACTGAGAATGATTCCCCTGTGGTTCAGTGGTATACCTTAGGGTTGACCCAATTTGATTCCTTAATATGGGATGCAACTAAATTCATAACAGTTCATTCCTATCCTAATGGGCATCATGCTTGCAAACTGAATGGAGGTTATTGTAACAAGATAAATGGTAATCATTTAGCCTCAAGGCTCCAGTTCTACACTATATGGGTGTTTAGATGCAACAGGATAACAAAGTCTAAGCAAGTGGGTTGCTATGCTTTGAGGAGCAAATGTATGCCAAGCAGAGCCAGTGCAGAGTTTTGGTTACCTTTATCCTTTATTGGATTTGAATGCAAAAAAAAGAAGAATAGTCGTCATGTTTTAAAGCCTCTACTGTCTTCCATTAGTACAAGAAATCATGTTAGTTTATTCAATGATTTCTTAATGCCATCGTATTTCTGGAAATCAACTTTTCAAAAAAATGTATAAAGTACAACTGAATTCAATATAAATGCACTTAAGAAAAGCTATAAAGTTTTTTGTTTCAAAAAGGATGCAGATGGTTTAACTTCAGGTTTTAAAAGACAATTTTATCTATCTGGGATTATCTCCTTATTAAAAATTCTGTTTGTATATGATAGGAGCTATGAGTTTCATCTGATGGCTGTGAACTAAGAAAAAACATTTGTTCTGTTAAGTGAGGAAGCAAACAGTTTATTTACTGGATTCCATTAGTTTCAGGATTATTTTTGTTTTATAGCATACATAGATGGACATTTTCTGAGATTGAGAGAGTTGTCCAAAGAAGGAGGTGCAAGTTTTGATATATCTCCATATTCCTCCCCTAGGACAAGATCCTGCAGGTCTCTGTCTTTGGCTTGGCTAGCCATATCCTTGTGAGAGGACTGATATTCCGTAGTCTCAATAAAGTGTTTAGCGCTGTAATAAATGTGAGCCTCTTGCTCATGTACTGTTTTTTTAGTAAACGCCCTTCAAAGTTTGATATTGGAACAGATTGAGCATCCAAACAGCAGTTCATCATCTGACTTCCAAAGTGAAACACTACTTCTCTAAAGTTACTTTCACATTTGAAGCACTGATATACTTCTAAAAGATCGGTCCACCCTGATGCACTTTAGGGTTGTGATGTATGAATAGCTTGTATTGACACAAGATACCACTTATGTAATGAACTCTTATATCTTCTTGAAGAAGATCAAGACTTGAAGTAGCAAGACACTATCTGTTTTTGACAGTTCACAATATTCCCTCCGCTTCACCCACCCACCTGTCTGCTTATGGCAGAAAAAGCTCCTTTCGCTTAAAATGTCACATGTTTAGTTCTAAGTCAGAGGAAGTTTTTGGAAAGTTTGAGGTTAGCATGGGCATGATCAGTATAAACTACAGCTGTGCGTCATTCTTGCTTCTCCAGTCATGTGTGTGTAGTACTGTAATCACAATATTGCCATTATAGAATAGATAATTACTAAAACAGTTAAACAGCTATAGAATAATAATATTACAGTAAAGATATAATGTATAGACAATTATAATTGTTTATTATAAACTTAAATTGTAATTAGATTAAATCATAATAGTTATTATATTTATATGTTTCATTTTATTTACACAATAACAGAATGACAAATTTAATAGTTGAATAGTTAATTATGACCTAGGCCATACTACTGTTAATTGTTTACAGAGGTAGAGGAGCTTAATGAGACAATCGCTGACTTAAAAAAAAAATCTTATTCAGAAAACAAGTTTTATTCACTCAGCTTCAAGGGAAGAAGTTACTTAAATGCAATAGCCTCTAGTTAATTGTCACTTTAAACTAATTAACACAAACACAATTGTACAGAATAAATTTTTGTACTTGGCATATTACCCTGAAAATTGTACTGTGTTTCTTACAGCATTCTCCAAACCCCCTGTCTTACAGTACAGGCCAATATTCCATGCCATATAGTTACTTCTTCCACTGAAATTCCCCTTTATTTTGTTACAGACAAAATTTTGTTTGATGAGCAAAGCACAAATATCTAGTGAAATGAATGCACATTCATTCATAAGAACTGTTAAATTCCCAAATTGTACTCCCTCTAAAAGGAAGTGTTTGGTTTCAGACATTACATATGAAGGTTCATTTTGTCTTATACCCAACAGCTATTTTTTTTTCATTTTTATTTTTTTCGTTTCAGAGTTCCTGTTCTTGTTTTCAAAACAGTTCTGAAAAGCATAAGATCTGTCTCAATTCTTTTGTGCCTTGCAATGCTGATTTATTTCATGAAACGCTGAGGATTTTAGGGTACAGTGTTGAACACAACCACTAAATTCCTTCATGCAGTACCAAAGAAACTGCTGAAAGACTGCAGATTTTGTTCTATCTTTGGGAAAGTTTTGACAAGAACAACACATTCGTTCTTTTAGCTTCAGATTGAAGGTTGGCTATTGGAAATACTATTGCTTTGATAATGGATATATATATCAACATATGAAATAATAGCAGCTACAAACCAAAATACCATTATAGACTAGAAATAGTTGTGTTATACTGCATTGTTCGCAAATACTGTAACATTCCTTCTTGTCCCATAACTTCGTAAGTGCTCTGTGGTTTTTTTTTTTCTAGGCACCCACTGGCCACCTTTTTCCACCTGTTTTTCCGAGTGAGTGCTATTATTACCTACTTGTTCTGTGACTGGTTCAGCAACAGCTTTGTTGCCTGTTTTGTCACTATTCTCCTCCTTCTATCCTTTGACTTTTGGTCAGTTAAGGTAAGATGACCCTGAATAGTAATTACCTTTGAAAGTATTTTGTGTGCCATTAAATAAAACAAAAAAGGAAATATATATACTGACAAAAGTGACAAAAATATTGTGATCTGTTGATTTATTAAATGTCTAGCCCACTTTAATTAAGACATTTACATATCTTAGTTCCTGTCACCGTTTATCACCATGTTCTCTATGGCTGATGGAAGCTACTAATATGGTGAGAAAATTGCCTTGCCATAGGTAGATTTCTTTGTATGCTTTCCCCCTTAAAAAAAAAAAAAAAAGAAATAAAGTAATAGTGGCTTTCAGTAATGGATGCCAAAGGATGTCCAAAGCTGCAATAGTGTGCCCAGACCCAGGATGCAGGAGCTGCAGCAGGCTCCAGGGAGCCCAGCTATGGCACCGGTGCCCTAATCACATGCAAGCAGGTGGGTCAGGCCAGCCCAGAATCCCAGGGGCTCCACATGTGGAACAAGGCTTTTGTTGTGTAGAAGTGAAGCATTGATGCATCTCCAGTATACTGAAAACTTCTAGTATTCATCCAGGTGCAAAAATATTTTCTTACTTTGTTTGCTTGGTTCCATGCAGCTTACTTGCTTATAATTAATTTTCCATTTCTCCAGTGTGTTTTTGTTTGCAGTTCTCCCCTCTTACTTGTTTATCGGGGGCTTCTCCAACTGACTGACTTAGCAAAGATACATCCTATATTTTCTCACCTAAATCCATGTTATTGTGCTAATTATCGTATTAGAAGAGGAGAACAATTTGTGGTAACTCATCCATCCTTAATGACTGTTGTGCTCAAGCTGGCACAGCTTTTAGAACTAATTTTAGTACTTGATAAAAGAATATGATTTTCAGACATGCTTGTCTTTTTTTTTTAACATTAGTCTGACAAGTGACTTATGCAACTGATTAATGCAAATAATTGTTTCTGTCACTAGAACGTGACAGGAAGACTCTTGGTTGGTTTGCGTTGGTGGAACCAGATTGATGAAGATGGAAAAAGCCACTGGGTGTTTGAAGCAAAAAGGGTAAGTATGTTAACAAAAGTAGGCACAGGACAAACAGAATCCATAGGAAAGCTTGTAAAGCTGATACTAAGTCAAATAAAGTAACAAATAGAGCACCTTTGTAACAGTTACATTATCTTCTATAGAAACTGGATAAAAAGTAAGTATCCAGTTGCAAGCACACTGGATTGTCACATCCTAGCAGCGTTCAGAACAAAACTACGCTCGCAACATTGTCATCATATGCATCAGCAGAATAAATATTTATAGCATGGTACTATCGGTATGAAACATTTCTGGTAGTTCTATTTTATTTTCTAGTGAGAACATCTTGTAATAAACACATCTTCCCATAGTTAATCCCAACGCAGAATCCTCTTCAGGAAGGATCTATGTTGAAAGCAATGCTGAATAGTTCCAGTTCAGTATTTTAAAAAGAATGTTATAGAATCATAGAATGGTTTGGGTTGGAAAGGACCTTAAAGATCATCTAGTTCCAACTCCCCTGCCATGATCAGGGCCACTTTCCACTAGACCACGTTGCTCAAAGCCCCATCCAACCTGGCCTTGAACACAATTCCAGGGATGGGGCATCCACGTCGTCTCTGGGCAACCTGTTCCAGTGCCTCATCACCCTCAGAGTGAAGAATTTCTTCCTTATATCTGAACTAAATCTACCCTCTTTCAGTTTAAAGCCATTACCCCTTGTCCTATCACCACATGCCTTTGTAAAAAGTCCCTCTCCAGCTTTCTTGTAGGCCCCCTTCAGGTACCAGAAGGCTGCTACAAGGTCTCCCCAGAGCCTTCTCTTCTCCAGGCTGAACCACCCCAACTCTCTCAGCCTGTCTTCACAGGAGAGGTGCTCCAGCCTTCTGATCATCTTCGTGGCTCTCCTCTGGAACCATGCTTATGCAATATGGTGGGGAATAGAACCGGATCACGGAGCATTCTGATACTGCAAGTGCTCCCCCAAACACCCTGAGCAAAAAAGCTATAAAATGGCACTTGGCATCGCGGCAGAGTCAAGACTGCAGGTTTTTGCTTTCACTTGCTAACATTCTCTCCACAGCCCCATTCAGGCAAGAGCCTGGCAGAACAACACTTCGAGTGCTGCTCACTAGGGCATTCCTTTCAAGCAAATCCAGCTGTGCACACGGCCTGGCTACTGAGCTAAGTGTAAAATACTCTGAGTGTGCGGGTCTAGAGTGCCCTCTAGCCGCGCTGCGCCCGTTTGCAATGAGAATGCGGCCAGGCAGGAGTACAACCGGCAGAGTGGGGCTGCACACCGTTAAGAGAATAACAGATGTTAACGTTCTTCCTGTAATCTGAGTGAAACCTAAAAAGAGAATATAGGCAAGCCTACATGAAAGCAAAGAAATTAGAAGACCTTCAGAGTTTCTTAGTTGCGTTGAGACAGTAAGCAAGAGCTTTCTTAACCCTTAAAAGCAATGACATCCATAAAATGACCTCCTGACCTCAAAGTTATGGTAAAATGAGCAAGCCTAGTTCACCTATTACAGCTTGTTAATTCTAGCCTAGAAGTACTAGCCCATCTGTATGGGCTAAATTCTTCCAAAATTTCTGGCAAATGGTAGCTTGATTAATGTGAAAATCATGGTACCACAAGAAGGAACATACAGTTAGAGTGGATTGTATTTTTGTCATGGCTTATCTGTGAGAAATACTTTCAAGTAAGGTCCTGGAACACATGTGATTCTCTTACTTTCCAGAGCCAGGCATTCCTTGCCTCCTTTGCTAGTCCTCTGGCAACTTTTAAAGATCTCTTCCTTTATGGGTGAATTTGCTTAGAAATATTCCAAGTGACTCACCAGCAATGACCAGCTAATTCCTGGTGTGCTGCTGCCGCCACAGAGGTTTGCCCTTGAAATCCTCTCTTCTGCTGAGGTTTGCTGTAAGAAAAGTAATTCTTCCACTTACATTCCAAACATCACAAATCCCCTCTCCTTTCTTCAGGATGGCTGCAGCCTTTTGTAATCTTGCTCATCAAGTTCACTAGGTCTTTTAGGTGCAGTGTTCTCAGCTGTACTGATTTTTTTTCTCCTAAATAGTTAGTGCTAATGCAATGTCATTGTTGGGTAATTTGTCAGTAATTTGGGATACAGGTGATTAAACCCTTTTGTTGACTCAGAATATCTGTCTTTTTCTGGAACTATGAAGGCACAGAACATAATTTTCTGGACCTCTGCAACATCCCTTGTTTAGACGGCACATGAAAAAATTAAAGACATCTTGTAATTATTGCATCTTGCAGGTTTTCTTAAGCAAGATAGAGTAACTTAACCATATTTACAAGTTGGATGCCATTGTCTGCCTCATGATGGATGGATGGATGGATGGATGAGTCTTATTTTTACATGGAGAATTCAAGATGCTGAAGATGAACTGAAAGTTTTTTCAGTTTTCAGAGTGGAAGAGTCCACAGGGTTTTCTTTTCTACTTGTGAAGCTTGTATTTCAGAAGCTAGCACTAGTGCTGGTTGAGTGGTCTGAGGTTTGGAGTGAGATTTTGAATTCTGGTCTCCTAGGAAAGATCAAAACCTTCTGAACAATTCTCTTTCTTTAGTTTCTCTTAAGTGTTGGGTGTTAACAATGAGCCTTTCAGTGTAGATAGAGACACATGAGCTGTGCTGACCTGAAGAAATCTTCAACCAGGGCTTTTTGCAGCCTGCTTTGAGGTTTTTTGCTCTCCCTGAAGAACACAAGCAGAGCACCCTGAATAACGATGCCTCTTTCAGAGAGATGCCAGCAGTTGCTATAGTGTCCAACACTAGTATTACAGAAGAGGCATTTTCGAAGCCACAGTTTTTAATTTATGGAATATCAGTGGACTTCATAAGCAAAACTGAAGTATTAGTTTACATAATAGAAAACTAAGCTTCAGACAAGATTTAAATTAAGCTACGATACTGCATGTTTTTAGGAAAATGTATGGAAATGAGCACTGTTATGCGAATTCCATTGTCTGAACTGGAACCAACTGATAAATCCTATGGGGGATCTTTAAAGTTTGCTTTTAGCACCTGCAACAGCTCATTGCAATTTCCACATTAGATACTATAGCTTTTCTGATACTGGACTTATTTTTTTCCCCATACTTTTGATTTGTGAATAGGGCACATGTCATGAATCTACACTGCAGACAGTGAAGTACTCACACTAAAGTTCTGCTTGTAACACTATCTTCTGTTGTACGCTTCTGTAAGGCCTTGGTAAAGTCTGAATCTAATTTCAAAGTTAAGTTAGTATTTCTGAAGTTTAAAAGCAATTGTCAGTGTTACAGAACTTTGATTTTAAAATACTACTAATCTGCAGTGTTAGTGGGAGCTATCTTTGACAAAAAGAATAATTATCTCATTTAAATGTGAACAGAGACCAGAACATTTTGAAAAGAAAATGCTGTCATGTACAGTAGGGCAGCAGGCATAAAACTACTTCTCTTCTTATTCAATATTCCTCCCACATATAATAAGTGAAATTTAGGTAAAGAAGTAATTTTGTCCATTCCTCGTCCCCTGCTGATTTGTCATTTACTGTGGATTTTGTCTTTGTGACTAGTAGTTTCAATAATTTTCCTTCTAGGTGCCTACAACAGCTGCCTCAACTGAAGCTGAAGCTCGAATCTTTTGGCTTGGTCTCATTATCTGTCCAGTTATTTGGACAGTGTTTTTCTTTAGCACCTTGTTCTCCCTGAAGCTGAAATGGCTGGTAAGTCTGGTGGTACTGAAAGACCTATGGCTGACAGACAATGTTAGTAGAGGGAAAACCCAGATCTGTTAGTTTTGCAACAGTCTTTGAATGAAATCTTCAAACACTACAAAAATTCCTCTAATAGCTTCAACAAATCAGAGGAGTTTTCTGCAGTCAAGCCCTGCACTCTGGAACGGATTAGTAATTTTTAGCCCCACTTCTACTAGGTTATCAGATGTCAACTCCTTCATCCCACTTGAGAACCTTAAGTGGTTGGCAAAATTACAGACTTCTTTTTAACTGTAGTGCCTTACTTTTCCCCAACTTATTTCGGTCAAAGGAAACTAATAGGAGAGGACAAAAAAATGAACCAGTGATGCTGGTTTTCAGGTTTTCACATCTCCTTGGGACTTGAATGTTACTTGCTCTTAAAAGTAAGGATTTTAGGTCTCTGGTATCATTCCCTTTTGAAAGAACCAGTATCATAGTGCTTAAAACCTTGATAAATTGAGCTATAAAGATGTATTTTATAATTACTATATTTATAAGCCAACTGGTCTACAAAGAAAAGAAAAACATTACACATTTTTCTAAATACAAGAGGAAATTTACCCCATATATTGCATTATGTCAAGAAATTTTTGTCTATGAAATCTTCATGTTTTCCCGTGGAAACATTAAGTGCTTGGATAATCACCACAGAATTAATTTTGTCAAGTTCCTAGCCATGCTAAGTAAAATTTCTTAATTCAGTTTGAAAAGATAAAAAGTGTGTTGGACATGTGCAGCTACATAACCAGTAACAGCCAAGAATGAAAAAGGAAATTCAGCTATGGGTATGAATCAATTGCAAATCATTAACTGCTTTCTAGTGCCCAAAATGGCATAGCTAAAGAAGCGATAGTTAAAATTAAACCAGCAGTCTTTCTCCGCGGCACTGTGGCTTATTTTTGAAAACCAGAGATTGTTTGCTAAACTCAGCTGGTTGGAGAAGGAACCCTAATTAGCACTGGAGGCAGGTTGCTCAGGTGCTTGTAAAAGGCAAGGTACACAAATGAAAATACGATAGCTTCCACGAAACTGTTTCTGGGGCTAAGAAAAACATTTTTGTAAGTTATTTCCGTAGTCAACCAGATGGGTTCTGCCTGCTGCTAAGCCTATAGTGCCATAAAAGGTTCTAATTATTTTCATTGCCTGTTAATGCTAGATATTGATTCATATCTATTGATGCTCTTTGTAAATTTGTAAGTTACAGGATCTTACTTGTATATAATAAGGCATTTGTCAACTAAAGCCTGCAGGTTTGCTATGTATCTGGATGTGAAACTTTTAGATACAAATTGGGCTTAAAAAAAGTGAAATGATTATGGAATCAATTGAATAGGTCCTTTTTTGAATAGGTGCTTTTAGGAAAGTAATGAAGTCTTTCAAGATACAGAATGACAAAAAAAATTTCTATCATCGGTGTTTTGATAAAAAGAAAGGTGTTTTGTAGAAAGGAACTATTGTGTTTAAGTTTGACATGGTTGGATCTTTTTGAAGGTCATTTATTATTGGAAGAAATATCCCTCTCATAGCATGTACATACATATGTATCTAAATAGTATGTATACATATATACACACACGTGCATATATATTCTACACATACGATCTATATATAGCAGTGCATTTGTCCCAGCTGAACTTTTGTTTGTCCACAGGCTCTTGTGATAGCTGGGATCTCCCTTCAGACTGCTAATTTATATGGCTACATCCACTGCAAGTTAGGGGGACAAAAAAGCATCAGCAGAGTAACTTCAAGGTTTTTTGTCACAGCAGATGCTCCCAAGAGTAAGTACTGAGCTGGTCTGTCAGCTATAGCCTGTGAGGTATCACATCCTGACCTGCCTCATGCTGTTGGGTTTGGCTCTTCCCAGGTCTCAGCTCCTAAAATAACTCCTGGCAGGGCTACCGTGATTCTCTTTTGTGGAACGCACTCAGAGGGGCCGTGCCCCACGTCACTTGGCTCTGAGTGCTGAAGCTTCGCAGCTGAGCTGCTCCCAAGCCCCATGCAGAATGTCCTCCAAGTCCATCCCTGGAGGGGTGCCTGCTGAGGCACTGTAATGCCTCTGCCCAGGCACAGCTGGGAGAGCAACCTTCAGCCCCCAGGCTTCCACCAGGCTCTTCCCTGCTTTTTATGAAAGACTCCTACATACGAGGTTATGCTAACCCCCAGGCTTCCTGTGTTCATTCTACAGGACAGACAAGGAGAATTTCAGAAGACTGCATTGAAGAACGTAGGAAGACAGGCACTAGATAATCAAGTAAGGAAGAACTACAAGGACAAGCAGTAAAAATACTCATTTATGAAAGCTGTTCTTCATACGAAGATATTTAAGAAAAGCTCTTCTAGAATTATGCCTGCATGAAATAATAAGGATTTTATGTCATTTGTGTTTGAGTGTCTAGATTCTGAAAGGTTTAGAGCCTCTGTTACTTAAAAGTATCATCAAAAAGCAGTTTGTATAGGCACAAAAACAATGCTTAGGGTTTATACAGAGCACACTACTTTTAAGAAAAAAAATCTGTCAACTAACCTGAAACTGTTGGGTAATCTTAACCAAGAATTAGAATGTAATCAAAAGACGATGCTCATTTGTTTAATTTTGGAACTACAATGAACAAAAATCAAACTGCCTTTCCCTCTTGTACACAATACTGATTTCGCAAAGCTTTGATTCCTCAATAAAAAGAGGAATTACAATCACAAAGGGCCTCAGTTATTAAAGATACCAAATGTTTATTTTTCAGTCTTCAGGCTTAGGGTCAAGTAGAAGAAAGAACAAAAGTCATGTAGCATGTTCACACAGTACTTGTGTGAAGCAGCCAGTTATGTATAAATAGTTAAAATATCTTAATCTTATTCTGATACCTGTAATAAATAAAATATTGTACTTATAGTATAATTAACTTGCCTAAACTCTAGTAGTTTTTATTTTAAAACTGATGCCAACTGTAAAAAAAAGGAGACAATGCTACACTGAATTTCACTCTAAATATAGATCTTTTCACTGAAAGGAAAGCTTCTTAAATGATGTTATTCAGTAAGAGAGTGGGCATTACAGTTCATCCTAGCGCAGAAGGCAGGACAAAGCTACTACGTGTGCATTAGATACATCAGACACAACGCCCCCATGTCAGGGAAGCATATTTCATATTCAACTTTCTAAATAAAATCTTGTATACGCATGTCCTCAAACACCAACTTCACATTCAGGTTGTAAGTACTGTGACACCGGATGCAGACTGCGCCTATGTAATGCAGACGAAGACTCAGTTTTATAGATTTCCAGCAAGCTTTGAGACCACCTGGGAACTACAAGAATCTTGTACGGAAAAAAACTAAGGCAAGAACATTTATATTAAGAATTTATTTGCAATATACAAAAAGAATACATTCCTTCTATTAAATCAAGGCATAAGTTACTTTTCTATAATTAAACATGAACTACATTTTTATTCCATTCATAGATTAGATAATCTTTTCTTCTTGAAAATGGTGTTGATCACAGTATTCCTGAATTCCTGCAAAGACAGGGAAAAAGTAATACAAATAATATTTCAGTTGCACATCGGGAGTGAGTTACTGCTGCATCACTCTGTCCCCTACTGGTACAAATATCACAAGTTGGGCCTTTATCACAGTGAAAATGGCTTTAGGAATTTCCCAGCTCTTTGTATTTTTAAACTGCTCATCACCAGCTCTTTAGGTAGTTTCTGTATGCTTTTTTTTGTGCAATTACAGTTAGAAGTGGAAGCAATAATTAGCCACCTGTATCATACTCAGCTATGGTGAACAGCCCTCGACAGGCCTGCTTGAGAATCTTAGAACTTTTCTGTGAGAGCAAGTGAGAATTAATGATGGAACCCAAACATTGAGACCAGTTACTAAATACAATTTCGTTGCTGCTTTAAAAGCCTGTTGTAACTGACACCCAGAAGAAGCGAACATAGTATTTGCACCTGTTACTTTCATAATCGCTATACATGTCTACTGTTTTTTTTATTTGTGGCAGAAAAACATAATTCTGTTTAGCACCTTTATGTATTGCAGGAGCGCTCAGAAGTGAGAGAGTGAGACGATTCATTTGCACAGTGATTTTCAGACTTACTTTGAATGATATTCCTGTAAGAGGTTGTAGCTGGAGACTCAGGTGCTTCAGATAAGAAAGACTGGCCTTTGTCACAACTTTTCCCTTGAAAGACAGGGAAAAACATGAAAGCAAAGCAACGGGAAAAGATGAACTTTTCTTGATTTTACCCTTTATCCCACTACCCTTCCAAAGAGCCATGCGCATCTATTCCTTTTAAGAAGCCCTTATGTCAGCAATGTAACTAGAAGTACAGCTTACGGTTTTACAAAGGAGTACTATTAGCAGAAACCTTCAGTCATTATTTTGGAAGTACTGACCTGTTCCTTGATGTCATTAAACCAAGAATTAATTGCTAATGGCTAGTGGGCAAGGAACCAAGCCATCTCACTATCCACCGCATAATCTGGGTGGTGCCAGTAACAGTGAAGTTAAAGCACTAGTTTTAATGCTTCATGTCTACAAAATACTACTCTTCATAGTGGTTATGATTTCATTCAGTCTGCACTTCCAGCTGATTACACCAAAGAGAAAGACATGTTGTACTTCGGATGTGATTATACAGCTGAAAAGATGCATAATCTAATCTTAATCAAGATTAAGTTTCAGGCTAAGGAAATTATCCTAGCACTTTCCTCTTTTCACACCATATAATGTCACAGTTCCAGTAACTTTTGATTCAAAAAATGTTCTATCTAAAAGTGAATATTTACCTAAGAGACAAAATGTTTAATATTCTAATTTATCAGTGTCCAACTCAGGGTTCTCCAGTAATAACATCAGTATAGGAGAAAAAAATTGTTTTAAACGTAGTGCAATACAGTAACTTTACCTATTTGAGGATCTAGAGGCACTTTACCCAGGAGGGAAACATTTAAGTTCTGGCACATCTTCTCTGCACCTCCAGTAGTCGGGGGAAAGATCTGAGATTCATTCTGGACAACATGAAAATTAGAGTTAAAATATTGCAATTCTGAGAACAAGGCATTTTTGGAGCAATGTTTTATATACAAACAACGTCAAGATAAAAAATGCCGTAAGATACAGATAGCCTTACCTTACACTTTGGACATATGAAGCCACTCATATTTTCCACAACACCTATGATTGGCAGTTTCACTTTATGGCAGAAGTTGATCTCCTTCCGAACATCCTGAAGCGATACTTCCTACAAATATTGGGAAACACTGCTATTTTGACTGTAATGTTTTGATGCTGAACCCATTAAGTTACATCCTTAGAGCTACTGTAAAGAAAGGTCATAATGCATTATTACTCTCTCTTTGTATTTTGAAGAACGTAAAGCTGCGTTATGTGCTCTAGCAACAATTCTATGAGTAGCAATAGAACGGGTACAACAGTTCCAGCCTGCTGAATGTGGTTCTGTTTTGAAATCTGACTTGACTCTAGTAAAGATTCAGCCATATTTATGTTTTATCTTCTATATTAACCTTATATCTTTATTTCTTTAAATGTAACTTTTTCACATTTTCAGTTTACAGAAAGACCCTTGGCATTCTCAGTAGAGCAGGCAAGGACAAGAACCACCAGGCTTACGCTTGTTATGTCTTTTCAAATTAAATTTCAAATAGCTTATCATCCTCTCAGACTTTTCGCGCATATGCTTGTCCTCATTCAGTTCTGCTGTTCCCTTCCCCTTCCCTCGCCACCTATCTGGTATTGCCCTCAACATTTCACTTCCTTTAGACTTTATTCTTTCAGCTGTTGTGGAAATACCAGGTGTCTTCTGCCAGTTTGATCACCTGTTCCTTTCCAAACCAGGCTTTAAAACCTACATTTGAATTTGACGTATTTTGAGTTTCAGCTCTCCAGGGGCTGATTTTTCTTTTAAAAATGCACATCACAAAGCTACCTACTGGAGGCAACAGGCTACTTCACGTGGTGCCAAACAATGCACATCTTACCACTTAAAAACTAAACTTCTCACTGACTTCTGAACATTAAGCCGTTGGTGAGTAAATTACAAATTTGCAACGACGTGAACTCTAGTCTCACAGAAGGAAGTGAAATACCGCATTTCCCTTCACCACACTGATCATGACAGCTTTTGATTGTGAACTGCTCAGTGGTTTAGTGACCACTTGGATCCCCTACGCCACTGAGACACCCATCTAACTCGTAAACCAGCCAGCTGTAGGCACAAACCCAGAAAGTCAACTCCCGTAGATTCTGTACCATCATTTCCCTGAAGTTAAATAGAGACTCTAAACCAAGGATTTGCTTTAACTGCCACGATGCTTCTATCAGTGGAAATTAAGTTCTCATACCTGAGGGGTAGTGATTATAACAGCACCATCGATGTGTGCTGCACTGAGATACTGCACGATAGATAAGTGTTCATCTGATGTTCCTGGAGGCGTATCTACAATCAGGTAGTCGATTTCACCCCAGTCAACATCACGAAGAAATTGTTTGATCAACCCTAAAAGAAAGGATAAGAATGTGGAAGAGGGAAAAAAAAAATCTCCCTGTATTTCAAATTTTATAGTTTAGGTATGCAGATTCTTCTAACTTGTCAATTTAAGTACAGAAATGCTTATTTTGCCAAGGCTTTAAAAAAAAAAACAAAAAACCAAAACCAAAGCATTTGACCTTCTAAATTCATCAAATGAGTATGTTCAACTAAAGAAAGTAAGTAACCATTCACTCATTTTTTCCTATAGCTTACTATACTATATTTACGTTATTAA